CATAAATCTTTGCAGCTTACTTTTATTAATATTGTGTTTTTGTTCTGTTTTGTGTTTATTTTTTTTGTTTGTCCCCATAATGATTAGCAATAAGACTTTTAAAATTAAATTGTTAGAGCTTTGCTTGGATAACATATTGGAATAGGTAACTTTTTTAAGGCCAATTCAAAGAGATGTCCCTGGTAAAACTAATGTTAATTCGTTTTCTGTTTTGGGGTAGACCTGTCACCTCCATTGGTTTATATAGCAGTTTCTTTTGGTTTTGCTAATGAAAAATTCTGGATGCTGAGTATGCATAGGTTTTTCCACTTTTTTCATGTTTTTATTAAATATTAGATGTAAAAGAATGTTGGCACAAAATGTATAAGATATAAAGAACAACAATACAAATGAAAGGCATCAAGATTGGAAAGGAAGAGATAAAACTATTTCTATTTGCAGTGTGGTCTTGTATATAGAAACTCCTGAGGAATACACACACACACACACACACACACACACACACACACACAATTTCAAATTATTAGAACTGATAAGTTCAGCAAAGTTGTGAGGTATAAGAGCATTATTGCAAAGCCCAATTTATTTTTAAGGAATAAATAATGCAAAAACAAAATTTTAAAAATTTCAGTACTCAGGAATATGTGCAAGACTTGTACACTGAAAGCTATAGAACATTGTTGAAAAAAGTTAAAGATCTAAGTTAAGTGGAAGGACATCACATGTTTATGGATCAGAAGACTTAATTCATTAAAGTGGCAGTGCTCCCCATAATTTGGCATAATTTCTATCAAATCCTGTTTTTTTGTAGAAATCGACAGATTGGTCAAATGTAAAATCGAGATCCTAGCCAAAAAAGTCTTTAAAAAGATGAACAGTTATAGGGCTCACCGATTTTAAAACTTACTACAAAGCTGCAGTAATCAAACAGTATGGTACTCACATAAGGAGGGCATAGGCCAGTGGAGCAGAATTGAGAGTACAGAAGTAGACCCTTACATTTGTGGTCAGTTGAATTTCACCAAGGGCGGCAGGAGTTTTCAATAAGGAAAGGATAGTCTTTAAGAAATGGTGCTGGGACAACTGGATATCCATATGCAAATAATGAAGTTGGATGCAGACCTCACACCGTACTAAAAAATTAACTCAAGGGTCGCCTGGCTGTCTCAATCAGTGGATCATGCAACTCTTGATCTTGGGGTTGTGAGTTTGAACCTCACGTTGGGTGTAGAGGTAGCTTAAAAATAAAATCTTTAAAAAAATTAACTCAAAATGAATCAAAGATTTAAATATAAGAGCTACAAATATAAAATTCTTAGAGCAAAAAACAGGTATAAATCTTCATGACTTTGGATTAAGCACTTTCGTGTCTTAGATACAACACCAAAAGCATAAGCAACAAAAGATAGATAAACTGGACTTAATCAAAATTTAAAACTTGTATGCTTCAAAGAACACCATGAAGAAAGTTAAAAGGCAGCTCACAGAATGGGAAAAAATATTTGCAGATCATACATCTGATAAGGGAATTGTGTCATAAAGCTCACATGGCTCACTCCCTCACACTGCTTCCAGGAATCTGCCCACCCAAAGTAGCACTGGTTGCCTGTCACTCTGTATCTCTCTTACCCTGCCTTAAAAAAAAAAAAAAAAAAAAAATTTACTTACTACTTGTTACTTACAGCACTTATTACTGACATACATTTATTTGTTTACTATCAGGCTCCTTCACCTTCCTCCCCCCATGTGAGTCTGATTGGGGCAGAGACTAGTTCCTACACTGCTCTCTGTAGCTAGAGCAGTAGCTGTCATTGGTGTTCATTAAATGTTGGGACAATGAATAAATAAATCCTTTAAGTTTCAGAGCTCAAGCAGTACTTTCACTTTTCCTATTGGGTTCTCATAGATTTAGTCCCTATTCTGAATTCCTCTGATACCTATTGTCTTTACTTTGGCAACAAGTTCAACTTTTACATTAATATTTGTATATCTTGCCTCTCCAGTGAGGCAAGGACTATACCTTACCTTTTTCTTCGCCTAGAAAGTCTAGGATACAGCAGGAGTCAGCAAAAACTCATTAAATTTAAAAATAAACCAAGTTAATCTATATGGTGTTGAATCACAAGTCCTTTCAACAAATTCATTTATTCATTCGACGAATATTTAGTGAACATCTATATCTCAGGCACTATTTCAGGTGCTAAATATATAGCAGTAAACAAAATGGGCAATATCCCTGCTTTCATGAAACTTACAGTATATAGAGAGAAGAGATAAACACAAATACTGAGTGATACCTGCTATGAGAAGAGTAAAACAGTAAGCAGAATAGGGACTTCCAGTGTGACGTTGTGAGAGTTCCTATTTTAATTTAGTTTAGTTTTTTTACTATTTTATTTTTTAAAAATTTATTTATTTTAGAGTTGGGGTGGGCAGACGGAGAGAATTTCAAGCAGACTCTCTGCTGAGCACAGAGCCCGATGCAGGGCTCAATCCCATGACCCTGAGATCGCAACCTGAGCTGAAACCAAGAGTTGGACGCTTAACTGACTGAGCCACCCAGGTTCCCTGAGAGTTGCCATTAGCCTCTCTGACTAAAGGAGCAAGCCCTGTAGATGTCTGGTAGGAAAGCTTTGCGGGGGGCGGGGGCAGGAAATACAAGGCTCTTCAACAAAGATTCTTGTTTTTGAAGTAGCTGTGTGGCTGTAAGCCTGAGGCTGGTAGGAGATGAAGTCAAATCATGTAGTGCCTTGAGAACATTTTACAGTCTGGGTTTTCTTCAAGTGAGATGGGAGGCTGTTGGAGAGTTTTTACATGCAGGATAATTTTGGTTGATGTGTGGATTTAGAGGTGTTTGTCTTGGATAGAAGCAGGGAGACCAATTAAAAGGTTCTTGGAGTAATCCAGTTGAAATATGATGCTAGCTTATTAGACCAGAGTGGTAGCAGTGGAAGTGGTGAGAATTGGTTTGATCCTGGATATATTTTGAGAGTAAATCTGATAGAATCTGATAATGGTTTGGATGTGGACATAAGAGAGAATCAAACATAATTCCTAAGATTTGGGCTAAGATTTTGGTAATAGAGATGCTGTTAACTGAAAGGAGTGAAAATATAGGTGGTATTATTTTGTTTTGTCTGTTAGGGGTTGGGGATTTACTGTGGAATCAGTTTTTGACACATTAAGTTTGAGATGCATATTTAATATCCAAGTCGAAATAACAAGTATGTAATCAGATATATTGGAGTTAAAGAGGGAGGCCCAGGTAAGACACCTAAATTTGGAAGTTGTCAACGTATAGATGGTTTTTAAAACCAGAAGAATCAGGGACGGCTGGGTGGCTCAGTCGGTTAAGCGTCTGCCTTCGGCTCAGGTCATGATCCCAGGGTCCTGGGATCGAGCCCCGCATCGGGCTCCCTGCTCAGCGGGGAGCCTGCTTCTCCCTCTGCCTGCCACTCCCCCTGCTTGTGCTCTTTCTGTCTCTCTCTCTCTCTCTCTGACAAATAAATAAATAAAATCTCAAAAAAAAAAAAAAACCAGAAGAATCAATTAGATCACCGAAGAAGTGGCTATAGGAGGAAAAAGTCCTCTGACTGAACCCTGGGCCACTCCAGAATTTGGAGGTAAAGGAGACAGTAGAACATAACAGATGATGTAAGAGGAGAGTCAAGAGTGTCTGAAGTTAGCTGGGGGGGTTGAAAGTACAACAAGGAACAGTTACCTGTGTCAAATACTGTTTGATAAATGATAAATTTGTTAAGTCAAATGCTGTTTGATGCGAATTGACTTCATCAGTTACTAATTCATTAGGGTCCACCATACCAATCGAATAATTGCCTAAGCAAAATTAATGAGCTTCTCAAGAAAAACCCGTCTCAACATTTGCCAGTTATTTATCTGTTAAATGTAGACTTTGCTAGGGAGCCTGGGTGGCTCGGTGAGTTCAGTGTCCGACTCTTGTTTTCAGCTCAGGTCATGATCTCAGGGTTGTGAGATCAGGCCCTGTGTCAGGCTCCACGAGAGTCTGCTTAAGATTCTCTTTCTCCTTCTCCCTCTGCCCCTCCCCCCCTTTCCTCTTTTTCTAAAATCTTTTTAAAAAAATTTAAACTTTGCCAATTAGAAAATTTAAAATGTTAGTCCTGAGTTTTCAAATTGTAACTGTACATTATATGTGATGTGGTACCATATTAAGAAAGGATTTCAAAGACATATTTTTGTTTTAGTGCATCATTTGTCATTATTGTGTGAAACCAGTGGAATCCATTCATAGACTCTGATTATGAAAATTGGGTAATTCCTCATATCCAAGCCAGAGGAAAGAAAGGACTTTTGGAAATCTGTGTTTCTTAGCTTTCTTTCTTTTTTTTTTTTTTAAACTATAAGACGGAATGTGGAATATTACATTCTTTACAGCTAAGTTCCAATTAGAAGCTAATTTGCAGTTGGGTTGAGTACTATCAGTGTTTAACATAAATTTAAATAGCAGAAAATTTCCTTTACCTCACCCTGATTGAAATCCAGGAAGCTTTGCTTACCTAGCTAACCTTGAAACCAAAGGAAAATTAATATTGGAAGTGAATGATTCATTTATACTATTAGCCAGGCTCATCATGATTGTATTAGACATCAGTTTTTACATAATAGACTTTTTAGTTCTCTTAATTCTGTTCTTTAAAATGATTTTTCCCATTAAAAAAAAAATGATTTTTCCGATGTATCAGTAGCTTAGGAATTTGAAAATTGAATTTTAGTATCTGCCTGCTGCTTAGTTCTAGAAGAATGGAAGTATTTTGTATTTGACATACACCATACCTCTTAATAGCAAATCTTGCTGAATTTGCTGCTGCTTATACATCATTATCGAATGACACAACAGCATTCTCTACATAGTAGAGAAAAAGATAGTTTAGAATGTGAGTAAAAGGACACCATTATGCTGAACTGCCATGTGGTGTGAAAAATTTTATGAAAATTTTCTCTTTTATTCAAATGTTGCCAAGGATTTGAAGCGTTCATTACCAGCTGGACTTGGTCTCTCAGAAACCCAAATTACATCTCATGGCTTTGACAATACCAAAGAGGGGGTTATTGAAGCAGGAGCATTTCAAGGTAAGAGCCCACATATTTTTAAAGATGGCTGGGTGGAGGATGGGAGAAATGCATCAAAAGCTATCTTTATTAATAAAGCATAATAAAGTCCTTTGATTCTGTGATAAAACACTGATTTTATAAGCATAATTTTTTCTCTTCAATTTAAACAATTTAGGAATTGTTTTAGTAGTCTTCTTTATATAAATAGATCAATATGCATAATTTCACTGATTATTAAAGAATTGGTTTTAAAATACTAAAGTAAAAACTGAAAAATTATATAAAAAATGCAGATTTAAATTATTTTAGCTTTTAACCACAAAATTTGTAACTATAAGTCAGTATTATTTTATATGAATACATATTTCCTATTTCAAAACAATTAGAAAAATAACGTTTATTTTTCCTATTATACATTCCATGTAAGTGGTCTCCCAAGACCACCCTCAGATTCAGTAATTTGCTGAGAGTACTCACAGGACTCAGTATATAGTCAAACTCATGACGATGATTATTACAGAGAAAGTATACCAAACACAATTAGCAAGGGCAAAGGATGCCTGAGGCAGTCTGGCAAAAGTAGGCATAACTTACAAGGGTCTTCTCCCACAGGACATTAGACAGCAGTTATTAATTATGTTTAATTCCCCCAGCAGACTGTGACAACATGTATGAACTATTGCGAACCAAGGAAGCTCTTTAGAGCCTCGGTGCCCAGGGCCTTTATTGGAGATTGCTTGTATAGGCACCCTCTGCCTGGCATGTACTAACATTCCAGACTCCCAGAAGGAAAACAGGCGTTTAGCATAAACCACATTGTTTGTATAAACAGTTTAGGCATAGTGAACCAGTTTTACCATTCTAGGAATGGACACCCAAAATTTAAGTTTCCAGATGCCAACCAAAGGCCAATTATGTAAGCTGGACTCTTTAAGGATAAACAGACTTGCTATGTTAACTCTTTTCTGCACACATTTCATATATAGGTCTATTTTTAATATAAGGAAAAAGTTGCATCCTTTTAATACTCTTGCATATAACAATCTTTCTCAGGTGTTTAATTTTCATGTGAGTGAAAGTAAAACCATGTAAACATTTGGGTATAAAAAATGAATTTTTTCTTTCTTTAGCTATAGTTAAAATAGTAGTTATATTTGATGTTCGATAAAGTATATTTTAAAACTTCATTATAATTTCATAAAATGAAAAAAAATCTCTGTGCCTTTGCAGTCCTTAGCTTTTATTATACTAATAGCCAATACTTGATTCAAAAACAACTTATATTTTGAAATATATTCTTTCCTAAATGGGTCCTGCAAATAAGCATTGAGGATAATCCAGAATAACAACCTCTGCTCTAGGCTATAAAATGAATGGGCTATCTAGTGACATCATTTTCCCCCCTTTTTATCCTTAGGTTCAGAAAAATAAAACCATAGAAAGGTAGCATACGTGTCAGTGTCTCAGTAGTCATTATGTAGCATTCTGGCTAGCATATCTTATCTAGGGGATAACTTTGATTTTGAAAGGGTTGACTGAGTGCCTAGAATTGTGAGTGCTTAAGGGATAAAAGGCTTGCACAATGTGACACCATTTTTGGACCAGTCACCATTTTCCAAATTTAAATGTCGATAGGAAATATAAAAATGCTTTTACTATTAAGATGTTTTAAGTATTCTCAGTGAAATTATTTAACTGACATTTGGTTCAGTCTTTTTCCCCTTAAGTAGAATAGTAGTATACAGTGACTGAAATCAACTGACCATTATAAACTGTTGTGTGTGAGCATGGAAATGCTGACAAGTTTCACGTGCTTATCGATATATCCTAGTCCTTCAAAGTGGAATAAAAAATATGTTTCATGATAATGGCAGTAATTTATGTCTCTTTGAATTGTCTTTATATAATTTTTTTAACATAAGCTATGTTGTTGATCAGTATATTAAAAAGAATCATTCTGCCATATGCAGATTAGTTAAGCATTTATTAGAAAGCTGTAGTTTGTTTTTTTTCCAGAAAGTTGTAGTTGTTTTAAGTGTCTTTGTGTAAAAGTATTTACAGATAAACTGGAATGAACATGAGAAAAAGCAACACTATTAAAATGTATGAAATTGGTCTTCTGAAAAAAATGTGAAAGGAGTTGGGGCTGTTTTAGCTCTCTGGAAAAATGACTGAATAATAACTTAATAATGACGTTATTACTTGAACAGTTGCTTCAAGAAAAGTATTAACATTTACTTTTCCATCTCTAGAGCAAATTTAGGAGAACTTATACTTAACTTTAGCCTACCAACAGCAAATACTGAAATCTACCTAACAAATACATTGCAGAATTAGTAATAGTGGAAATCATGAATAAATCAAAGCTCATTAGAGTGAAGTATACTTGATACGTGAGTTTTGTTTTAGTGGGGTGTTGATTATTACCTACATATATTCATATTCCTAGATTCCTGTTATTGAGGTGAAATGGAGCTAATTCCTCAAAATTTAGTCAATAAGGATTTTAGATTTTTAAGAATTATTTTTTATTGAATATTAGTGAATGATTTTAGTAATGAATTTAGTCTAAATTAGTGGTTTAAAGGGTTGAAGATACAAAGAAGTGATAATTACCCATGAAAGGAAAAGGAAAAGGCTGAAGTACCCAGTTACCAGGGCACCATGTATTTGCTATTTTAGTTTGGAAGGTTCTATATCATTAGTTACATATATTATACACATCTCCTGTGTCATGGGATTATTTCTTATGAAAGATTAATAAACAGTAATAACCAGAACAACAGAGCTCTATTCCTGGGATCATCAAGAAGTAGAATTACAGTAGTCATTTTTTTTTTTTAACATTTGCTTATACAACAGAAACCCTTGTGCCTTGGATAGTAGAGATAGTCTTTGTTTGAAATGGTGATTGGATTGGATAACCTATTAAAATGCCTTCCAACTCACTAAGTAATTTATGGATTGGTGTTTTCTGTATTGAATTTAATAATGGAAATTTTAGGGTGTGAATTCAGAGCAGCTGCGTCTCTGATAAGCTGTTTTAACCCCTCTGGGGTTTATTTCTCCTATAGTTTAATGTCAGACTTAGTTGATTTCTGTCATCCCTTCTAGTTTTAAATTTTACAGTTTATCAGATTTAAAGAGATAAATATCTCTCACTTTTGAAAGGTAGTGCCAGTCTGTTTAGGTCTATTGCATGTTTGGATTTTAATGTTAGATCTAGTTCAAATTAAGGTTTTCATATTATTAAAACTGGTGACTATTTCTCCAACAGAACTTAGTATATCTGGGATATAACCAATTTTTACTAACTCTAAGTAAGGAAATTTGATCTTGATTTCTGTTCTATTAGAACATTTTAATTACAAATTTGTTTCATTATATGATTTCTAGGGAACTGGGAGAGTGTAGTTGAAATAAAAGTACCTTACAGACTTGAAAATATTCTCAGCTGAATGTGAAAGGATATTAAGTTTTTCAACTTTTAATTATCATTCCCTTAAAGATGTACACACTTCAGAATTTAAAATAAAGAAAGCAGTTGAAGTTACATGGTTTTATTTGGTTTAATGCCGGACATTAGAACAATGTTGGATAGTCAGTTTTCTCATTTTGTAGATAACTAAGGCTCAGAGATATTAATTAATTTGCTAGGACGTTCATGATACTGTGTGGCAAATAGAACCAGAATTTCAAATGCAGAGTTAAGAATTTAAAATTCAGTTGTGTTTCATTCAAAAAATGTTTTTTTCCTATGATTCTCAAACTTCCAGTTGAGTTTGAGAATAATTTGAGTGGCTTTTAAAAAACCACAAATGCCTAATGTACAACATGGTGACTATAGTTAATAATACTGTATTGTATACTTAAAATTTGCTAATAGAATAGATCTCAAGTAACCACAGAAATGTAACCAAAACAAGTGATGGATATATTAGTTTGTGGTAATCATTTCACAATGAATACATATATCAGAACATCACACAGTACACCTGAAATATGTACAGATTTTTTTTGTTTAATAAATAAAAACAATTGAATAAAAAAGGTAAAACTGAAAAAAAAAAAAACCCTACAGATACCCACTGATGATCAGTAGATCATCTTGTGGAGTGGCCCAGCTATGTTTTAAAAGCTCCATTCTTGTGATTAGTTAGAATAGCACTTTACATCAGCACTTCTCAAACTTCAGAATACATACAAATCACCTAAGGATCTTGTGAAAATGCAGATTCTAGTTCAGTAGGTCTAGGACAGGGCCTGAGTTTTTGGATTTTTAATGAGCTCTCAGGTGAAATCCCTGATGTAGGGCCCTTGCATCCATACTGTGAGTAGCAGTGATCTACACTACGTGCTATTGGATTTATGATGTGAAATTTTGGACTACAATTCTTGTGAACGCTGTGACTCATTCACATTTTGTGAATTCTAATTTTGGTACATTATTACATACCTTGTTTATTTAAAGAGCTTTCCTTTGAATGTAGGAGTAGCACATTATAAAATATTTACTTAAGCTTTAAATTGTCCGGCTATGGAACTTTAATCATATTCTGTTCATTGATTTGGAAATAGCAGAGTCCAGGTAGAGTCCTGTTTAGACGTGATCTTGCCAAGTTTCGTCTTATATGTGTTTTGTTTGGTTTCAACAGTTCCATGAAAAGTTTATACAAGAACTCCCCCGATCACATCCATTTATTTTTAGTCCATTCCTGCAAGAAAGCAAATATATTAATTCCAATTTTTAATCCTAGCTTTTTAATATTTTAAGAGCAATGTCAGTAAACCGATATTCAAAATGTGTAGTATGTAGAGGAGGAAAAGGATTTTCACAGTTAAATGTCTACCCTTTCCAGGTTCCCAAGCACCACCATTGCCATCTGTTATGTCTCCTAGCAGGGTTGCAGCTAGTCGACTGGCTCAACAAGGAAGTGATTTAATTGTTCCTGCAGGTATTCACTGCACTGATTGGATAAAAGCCCTTCTTGCTACTTCTGAAACTAAACTAATTCACTCAGTTTCATAATCCCTCGCTTTATATTCTTAGGTGTGTGTAATTCTGGCTTTTTTTGGTGGCTGCTGCTTTCTTTTTTAACAAGAACGGAAATAATCTCTCTAGACATACCTATTTTTCTGGCTTTTCAGTGTTATTAACTATATATATCTTAAACCTGAAATTTAATTCACTTTAAGATTAAAAAACATTGTAAAATTGGATTCATTTTATTTTATTTTATTTTTAAGATTTTATTTATTTGATAGAGACACAGCGAGAGAGGGAACACAGCAGAGGGAGTGGGAGAGGGAGAAGCAGGCTTCCCGCGGAGCAGGGAGCCTGATGCGGGGCTCGATCCCAGGACCCTGGGATCATGACCTGAGCTGAAGGCAGACGCTTAATGACTAAGCCACCCAGGCGCCCCAAATTGGATTCATTTTAAATCATGCTTTCTTAACTCTGGAAAATGTAGATTTACTTATTTGATCCTCTCAGCTTTGCAGGTCTGCTCTCTGTTTTCAGTTAAACAAAAAAGGAGCCTTCAACAATTGGGTTGTTCATTATTTGGAATGGGTCAAGTGGAAAATGTTGTATCTTCCTATTTTCAACCACAGCTTACAGATAGCTTGCAGATTGCAACAAAATGATATGTAATTTACCAGTTATACCCAATGAAAAATACTTGGAGAAAATGCATTTCTTTGCATTGAATTTGCTCTATACTTTAATATTGCTGGACTATAAAAACAGGAAAAAGTTGAACTACATATTTCTTTTAACATATGAAATGTTAACATTCTGTATTTTGTTTCTTTGAGAATTTTGTAAATCTTAAATGTATTTGATTTTATATACCGTTCTTGATCTTAGGTTATGGTAAAGTTGTGGCAAAGGCTGGTCTGACTGTAGGAGTAAGTGAGAAAAGAAATTTTTGCTCTGGCTTTAAAAACCATTTTTTAGAACTTTTACTCTTCTTATTTCATTGTTCTTTTTAAATTTTTACAAAGTTTTTACTCTGAGTCATTAGTATCATAAGCATTTAACTATTTCTTCTATGAAAAATATTTTACTATAGAAACTCTATACTGGTAGAGTTGCTTTTATGTCATAATTTCTTAATAGTCGGAACAATACATTGTCAGCGCCCTATACTGCCTTTATTAATTATGGCTTTTTGCAGGAGGGTGGGTGGTCTCTTGAGAAAAAAAGGAGGTACAATGTAGGTCTTGTTTTAGCCTAGCCTTTCATACTGGTGGTAAGATATTTTTAATGACTATTTGAAATTTGAATTATATTTTTAAATCCTCCAAAATTATAGTAACCTCTGTTGTTACTCTGTTCTACATCGTATGATGAAAGGAGATCACTGTGAAGAGTACGTAACCTTTCCAGATTTTTACTGACACAGTTTTTTTTAGGGTCATTAGGTTATAAGATTAATTGTGGGAATTTTGTTTTCTAGAAGTAAAGAGCTTATTTAGAAAAGAAGGCTGGTTGCAGCATTTTTTTTTTTTAAGACGATAGACAAACCACAAAGCATTTGTGTTTAGTTGGCAGAAATATTTTTTAAGTGTTTGGAAATTGTCCTCAATTATTCCAGAAAGTTCTAGTCCTTTACTTTGTGGAAACCATTTTATTTTTAAATGCATAAGTAGTTTAATTTGAATAGCATCAGTGGTTTGGTTTTTTTTTTTCCACCTACTTGTCTTTATCTAGTTTGTGTTTTATCTTCTGTTATGATCATGCAGGTGGCCAGAGAACACAGACCAAAAGTGGACCAGTTATTCTCGCAGATGAAATAAAAAATCCTGCAATGGAAAAGTTAGAGCTTGTTAGAAAATGGAGTCTAAACACCTACAAGGTTTGTATTTTTTTAATGTTTCCACCCTAACTAGCTCTAAGAATTTTCATTTGTATGTTATTCAAATTATTATTTGCAATTATATGAATATATAGGAAAGAATAATGCCTCTAACTATAAAAATACAATTAGAAAATGAAGTACTCTGTTTTATTGGTCTTTGCATAAATGTAGTCTAAAAAGTCAGCAGCAAAAGAGTAAAAAAGCTACAGAAATGCTTATTAATTGATAGTACATAATTGAAGAAGAAATATATTACCTTGGAATATGTTTGCCTGTAAAACTGCTATAGACATATCTCTCGCTACCTCCTCTTTTTGATACCTTATAGTAACTGAATGTCAAAGAGGTGTAGTCATTTTTCAGAGTTAGAATTCTTTGATCTTACTGTAATAAGCATTAACTGTATAGACAGCACCACATTGCAAATGAGTTGGACTTCAGAAATGTATTGTTGTTGTTAGTTGCATTGCCTCAGAGTAATTGGTGGCTATTTTTTTGTATGGCCTCTGTAAAACAAATAAGCAAATTATTTAATCTATAGTGTATTTGATATATTACAAATAGCTCAAACCACAAATCCATGGTACCTTTGAATCCTAACAGGACAAAACGGTAGAATTTAAAGAATAGTTAGGGGCACCTGGGTGACCCAGTCAGTTAAGTGGCTGACTTCTGATTTCAGCTCAGGTCATGATCTTGGGGTGGTGAGATCAAACCCCACATTGGGCTCTGCACTCATTGCGCAGCCTGAGATTCTCTCTCTCCTTTTCCCTCTGCCCTTCCCCCTGTTCACGCTCATGCTCTCTTTCTCTCTCTCAAATAAATAATCTTTAAAAAAAATAGTTTAAAGAACAGTTGAGTGGATGAAAACCCTAGTTAGTCAAGTCGGAGCATTTGCCATAACACTCTCTATATTTGTGAATTGTTTGTGGATGTAGTGGTTTGTAAGTCAGGAATTGTCTGTATTTTGATACAGAGGACATGTCTCTTATGTGTCTTCTCAAGAGTAATACAGAAGTGAATTTATACTTTCAGGTAATACTTGCAGAATACTTTCAGAAATCATCTATGAAAGTACAGGTTTTCTTAAGATGATGAAAGTGCCCCTGAAACATGTTCATGAATCTTTCCAAAAATTATTTTCCTCATGCCAATGTAGCCCTGATAAATGCCAATGGTAGTCATCAAAACCTGATGCCAGCGTCAACTGTTCTCATTCAGGACATTGTATTTAATTATTGCTCCTTTTGTTATCAAGTATGTGGATTCTCATTCCATGTATTGTTTCTCCCTTTGTATTCCCTCATATCACAACAGTTCACCCAGCTATCCAGACTTCTACCTCATCTTCTCATTGATGCCACATACCTCTTATCATTAAATGGACTCTGCCTCCTTAATATTGTTTGACTTTATCCCTTTTTCTCCATTCCAGCTTTCCCAGCCGTAGTCCATATTCTTTGTTACTCTCACATTACTGAATTAGCTTCTTGACAGAATCTCTTAGACTGCATATTCTCCGCTGCCTAATGTGGTTCACTTTTACTGAAATTGTTCGGTTGATCCCCATTGTCTTTAGAATGGCGTGGATCTGACCCATCTACCTTGCCAACGTTAACCCGTTGTTCCTCTCTCCCACCAGTGGATCCAGTGATCCATACCAAATTATCCAGAGATTTCCGAAACAACTATGCTTTCTCACACGTCTATAACTTTGTTCATGAGACTATATTTGCCTACTGCTTGGAATTCCTCTTTTTGCTCCCTTTCATTTCACTTATTTGTCTTTCATACCAAACTGAGCTTTATTCATTTATTTATTAAATTTATTTATTCAACCATTCCTTTGTTCATTTATTCATGAAGTTTGCCTCTAACTAGTAACATTCTGTGATCACACATTGAAACCTAAAGAATACAGGCCTTAGCCGTGCCTGTTTGGCTCAGTTGGTAGAGCATGTGACTTTTGATCTTGGGGCTGTGAGTTGGAGCCCCACGTTGGCTGTAGAGATTACTTTAAAAAAAAAATAAGGACACCTAGGTGGCTCAGTTGGTTAAGTGTCTGCCTTTGGCTCAGGTCAGGGTTATGGATTGAGCCCCACGTCAGGGAGTCTGCTTCTCCCTCCCCTTCTGCCCCCTCCCCTGCTCATTTTCTTTCTCTCTCTCTCTCTCAAATAAAATCTTTTTAAAAAATAATTAATAAAAATAATTACCACCTAAAAAAAAATACAGGTCTTAGTTCTGAACCAAGTCTTAGTAATTACAAATTATAAAATTTAAGATTTTGTTCATTTGAGCCTTCTTCTCTTGTGTCCTTTAGTTCATGTTTCCCTTGTTCCCTCTTTTTTTCCTATATACTTATTATCTGTTCCCCAATTTTTTCTTTTACCTCTATAATAATCTGAGTTGAATCATTATTAAGACTCCATATTTATCTCTTATATTAACATACCACATTCAGCCTTTTTAAAGTTTATGTTAGTGAAATTGACAAGCCTTTAAAATGTTGCACAGATGGCATAATACTACATGAAGGAGTTATCATTCTCCTCAGAATGATTATTTTTAACTGAAAATTTTTTTCATCAGAACTTAATTGGGATATTACAACCTAAATCAGAAGAGAGGAACTATTGATCTTGGGGTTGTAAGTTCAAGCCCTGTGCTGGACCCAGAGCTTACTTTAAAAAAAAAAAATTAGGCATACATGGGTGACTCAGCGGCCTGCTCTTAATTTTGACTCAAGTTATGATCGTGGGGTCCTGGGATTAGGCCTCACATTGGGCTCCCCACTCAGTGGGGAGTCTGCTTGAGGATTCTTTCTCTCCTCTCCCTCTGCCTCTCCTCCCTCTTGCGTGCAGTCTCTCTCCCTCTTTCTCTCTCAAATAAATAAATCTTTAAAAGAAATTTTTTAAGTGTATTTATACTTTAAAAAAATAAATAGAAGAGAGAAAGAATGTTCTAACTTACATGATTTTAATGGTTTGTAGCCAGTGTGTCTGGGTTGGCATATGCTTCTCCATCTAAACAAGCTCAGAGTGTAATGACTTTATTGGATTTTCTTGACTCTGTTCTTATGGCTTTTTTACCTTTTCATTGCAAATTATGAGCTATATAGGACATTCATTGTCATTTGGATAATCCTTCAAGTATAGATTTTGATTTGGTTGATTTAGGTCTGTACTTATTATCCATTTTACTGTTGAGCAACTTGTTCTGGCTACAACTTTGATCTTTTTCTTGGACTTCAGGCTCCTGCATTGTTTTTGGCCTTTAATCTCTCTTCTGTTTCTGTTCTCTAACAAATACTAAATAATTTTTGGGAAGATTGATGAGCATGTTTCAGGTACTTTTATCATCTTAAAAAAACCTGTACTTTTGTAGATAATTTCAGATCATATTTTAGAAGTATTAACTGAAAGAATAAATTCACTTCTGTATTACTCTTGAGAAGAGATAAGGTGTCTGTATAAAAGTATAAACAATTCCTGACTTACAAACCGCTACACCCACAAACAATTCACAAATATAGAGAGTGGTATGGCCAGTGCTCTGACTTGAACAGCTAGGGTTTTCATCCACTTAACTGTTCTTTAAATTCTACTGTCTTGTCCCTGTTAAGATTCAGAGGTACTAAGTGGATTTGTGGCTTGAGCTATTTGTAATACATCAGTCACTTAAAGGCTTTTCCTCACAGAGACTATTTAGCACTTCTTTATTGGTTGTTTATTTTGGCTCAAAAAACAGGCTGGTAAAGCCATAATAAAGTATTTGCTTTAAAAAAAAAAAAAAAACAGCCTGGTGATTTAAACCAAATATATAATGGGAACAATTTTAAGTTTAGGCTCTGATATATAAGTAAGTATTCTTAAATATTATTTTAATCTACCTGATTTTATTCATAAATTTTGAATCCAAAATTTATTTATTCTTATCCACAGGAATTCTCAGCCCCAAAATAAAATAAATTTAAAAAAAATTTTTTTAAGATTTTTATTTTTTATTTATTTGACAGAGGAGAAACAGAAAAAGCACAAGCAGGGAGAGCAGAAGAGGGAGAGGGAGAAGCAGGCTCTCCACTGAGCAGGGAGCCTGATGCAGGGCTCAATCCCAGGACCTTGGGATCATGACCTGAGCAGAAGACAGATGCTTAACCAACTGAGCCACCCAGGCGCCCCTTAAAATTTTTTTTATAAAGAATAGAGTAGGGGCACCTGGCTGGCTCGGTCAGTGGAACATGCAACTCTTGATCTCTGGGTTGTAAGTTTGAATGCCACGTTGGGTGTAGGGACTACTTAAAAATAAAAAAATAAATCTTACAAAAAAAGAATAGAGTACTTTTAGAAGTCCATCTTCTTATTATTATTTTATTTAAGAATAATCTCTGTTTCATCATTCAGAGCTGTTTGGCATGTTTCCAAACAAATACTTTCTTTGAATGTTTACGAATTTGTCATCAGTATTTACACCTTATCAAATTAATCTTTGTTGCCTATAAGCCAATATCTTTCAAACTTTCATTCCTGTTTTTCTTAACCATATTGTCTTATTCATTTACTGATTAATCTATTCCCCTTGTTCAGTTTCTAGTATTTTCTTTTATGCTCCCTTCTTTCCTATCCTTCACCCTTAATAACTCTTTAGTATCTATCAGCTTTTGCCATGAAATTATTCTTTTCCTTGTACTTAAGTGTTTTTATTCACTTTTTGGTATTCCCAGAAAAAGTTCTTGGTGCTGTTTAAATACTGAGAGTGCACAGTGACATCTTATAAATTCAGACCTGTATGATGGTGATTCATAGTATGTTTTTATACAGTGTTTATCACTTTATTATATCCACCCTCCCCGCAAGTAGGAGATCTACATAGAGCAATAGTTTACTTTTGCTTTAACCTTGCTCCATTTGTCTTATCTTCAAAATGGAGTCTTAATTTATAAGTATGGAATACTGAATAGGACTGTCAGGTCATTATAAGTCATCTGCATTTTCAGCAAAGTAGGCTATCTGGAGTGCTCTCACTTTCAGATTACTTAGATTGTCCTTAAGAGTGCACATTATCTATATTGAATACAAGGTGGGAAAGGTCCGTTTCAAAACTTGTTTCAAGTGTCCAAATTTTCACATGCTTCATAATCAATATTGCCTTATGCTTCTTAGTGCCTTGGCTTCCTAGAAACAAAAAACATTTCCTCATTAAACCTTTGACCCTGCTGTCTGCTTGAAACCATTATTTCTGGGGAAAAAAAATGGCCACTTAGACAACAGGCATTTCTTTCATTTTGCCCAGTCTGCCAAGCTTCTTCAGTGAATTCTAGCTTCTTGACTTTCAACAGACTATTTTATCTGGGTTGCTATGGAAGGTACCATATGCTTTGGCTTTTAAATGGAATAAATCTCTGATAATATTGCTTAGGGAAAATCCTGGTGTGGATGAAAAGTGGTGTATCTCCTTTATCTTGTTACCATTTCAGATATTATTTTTGCTGATGTTTCCCTTGTTAAAATGACAGAGTCTTCAGTTAAGCTTTTCTCTTGAAGTGATTTTCATCTTCTAAGAGTGTATGTGTTCATATGTTTTCCTATAGAAATAGTTTTATCTCTCTTCCGTGAGTTTAGCCTCTCACCTTTCCTATCATTTTCAATATAGTTAATTTCTCTGCCTTTTAAAAAAAGAACTCCTTTTTTTTAAATGTTTATTCACGAGGATCCTTAATTGATGAGAATAGAGAATATATAGGGAATTCATTTCAGTTTTAAATAGAAAAACATGAGTAGTATATAATACACTAATTAGAAGGATAAATATAGATTTATATGTATTGACAAGGAAAAATCTCAAGATATTTGGTCATAGGAAATAGAGGATGTTATGTATAGCATAGCACAGTCTCATTTTACTTGAAAAATATTATATATGTGAGTATAGAGGTTTAAGGAAGAGTCTAGACTATGCATCAAACTGTTAATAGTAGTTTTCTATTATTTAGTGGGATTAAAGGAAGGAAGAGGAAATTCACCTTTTATCTCATTCATTATTATTTTTTTTTTAAGATTTTATTTTTATTTGAGAGGGGAGAGAGCACGAGAGGGAAGAGGGTCAGAGGGAGACGCAGACTCCCTGCTGAGCAGGGAGCCCGATGTGGGACTCGATCCCAGGACTCCAGGATCATGACCTGAGCCGAAGGCAGTCGCTCAACCAACTGAGCCACCCAGGCGCCCTCATTCATTATTTTAATTGTTGGAATAGATACCAATTCTGTAACCAAAACTGTGAAAGACAAGATAAAAGAGCAAGTTTGCAAATTTAAAAAATTGCAGTATTTATTACTTTCTTAGAATATTTTTGTTGACTTTAAATGAAGAAGAGTATATTAATGCCCTATATAGTTACTCTCAAAATATACTATTGAGTGGTGAAGTTGCTTATAATTCTTTGTTGCTAAAAAAAATTTCCTGTATCATTATTTCTGGGGCAGGACAGAATAACAGAATTTAATACTATTCTTTCTGGACAGAAGTAAAAGCATTCAGGAATCTCTCATCTCTACCCCTCTCTCTTCTTTCCTCCTTCCCTTCCTCTCTCCCCACCCTTCCCCATCCTCCTCTTATCTCTTTCTCCTTCCTTTCTTCCCTTCATTCTTCCTACTCACACACATACACACAGCTATTTAAGAGGAAGATAGAAGGAAAAAAAGCGTTTGAAAACAACAGAAGAATAGAATTTTGATATGCTTATTATTCCTATATTAACAGCCCGCTCAGGTTCTTAAATCAATGCCAAGTATCTCAGTTGTTGTAAATAATCTACCGAAGTATGCTAAGCCTGAAATATGATTCTATGAGGGAGCTCATCTGGTAGTATATAAATTAGCTCTCTAAGTCTTAAAACTTCCTCTGGTTAGTAGTAGCTGTTAGAGATGTCTGGTAAGTTTATTTTGAATCTTGATGAACTTCTAAGTGGGCTGACAATTTTCAGTTTTTTAAGGGTAGCTTGTTTGAAGCCAAAAATGGTATATGTCAAATGCTGTAGTATTTGTACTTCGGATTGCTATATTATTCCTTTCTCTTTTGTTCTTTTTTTTCTTCCTAAACAAAGTGCATCTTTCCACTTTTAGTGCACTCGGCAAATTATCTCTGAGAAGCTAGGCCGTGGATCGAGAACTGTGGACCTTGAACTTGAAGCTCAGATTGATATATTAAGAGATAACAAGAAAAAATATGAAAATATTTTAAGACTGGCTCAGACATTGTCAACCCAGCTTTTCCAGATGGTGCACACCCAAAGGCAACTTGGAGATGCATTTGCTGACCTGAGTTTGAAGTCACTAGAACTACATGTAAGATTATTTTAAATAACTGTCGGAGAGTGTGGAGGAGGAGAATGGCAATAGTATTCGAAGATGTAATTTGTTACATTTCTGATTTGCTTAACTCTTAATAAATTTGGAATTGGTGTTCTTTTAAAATATTTCATGTAATTAAAGGTAGAGCTGTGGGTCACTCAGGTAGTTCAGCAGGTTGAGCATATGACTCTTGCTTTTGGCCCAGGTCATGATCCCGATCAGAGTGCTGGGGTTGAGCTGGTGTTTGAGTGCTTTCAGCCAGGAGACTGCTTGTCCCTTTCCCTCCCCCACTGCTCCTCCCCCTGCTCATGCATGTACCTGTATGTGTGCTTGCGTGCGCGCTCTCTCTCTCTCTCTCATAAATAAAATCTTTTTTTAATAAAAGGTAGAGTGGGACACCTGGGTGGCTCAGTAAATTAAGCGTCTGCCTTTGGCTCAGGTCATGATCCCAGGGTCCTGGGACCGAGTCCCACATCGGGCTCCTTGCTCAGCAGGGAGCTTGCTTCTCCCTCTCTAATGCTCCCCCTGCTTGTATGTGCTCTCACTCTCTCTCTGTCTCTCATTCTGACAAATAAATAAAATCCTAAAAAAATAAAATAAATGAATAAAAAAAAGTAGAGCTGAAAATCATATCTGTGTAATTTATTTGTTTTATATATACAAACATACACATATTTGGTTTTGTTTTCATAGCCAAGGACATGTACAGACAGTGAGGCCAGGAGCAGGAGCTCTGGGTGGGGCTCGCCTGTGCATGTGCACAGGGAGGAGCTACACCAGACTTGTCTTTATTTCTCCATGATCTCCTGCTACATCTTTAAGTGGAATCTTTAGAGAGAAAAATCCCCACAGTAAGGAAAGAGGTAGCCAGGGTATAGGGTCTGGGGAAGTGTTAACAGCAGTGTTACCAGTGATGCTGCACTCAGTAGACCCTGCTAATTATAATAGTTAATACAGATTGGGGATTTACTATATGCCAGGTAGTGTTCTAAGTGGTTTATGTATGTATTAGCTCATTTAATGCTCAGTCGTAGCTAGTAGGTACTTTTATTATCTTCTAGATGTCAAATCCTTTTTTTTTTTTTTAACAGAACTGAGAGGTTCATCCTAAGTATTCAAGTCCGTTAGACCCAGTTTTAATTTTTAAGTTTCTTATTTGAGCATCTCTAACCCTTTGTAAGGATTTGATAGTTCATGAGTTTTATTCCAATGCAAACATTTACTTATTTTTTTAACAATACTTTTTTTAAAAGATTTTTTATTCATTTGAGAGAGAGAGAGTAGAGTGAATGAGAGAGAACATGAGTGGGTGGGGGCAGAGGAGAGGGAGAAGCAGGCTTCTCGCGGAGCAGGGAGCAGGACGCAGGGCTCGATCCCAGGACCCCAGGATCATGACCTGAGCCGAAGGCAGTCGCTTAACCAACTGAGCCACCCAGGTGCCACCAGAATACAACTTTTTATCTTGGAACTGCCATGTGGGTCCATTGGAAATCAAAGACACAGTATGGGATCTTAATGATCTTAAAACATTTTGCTATTTCATCATCTTGGGAATTATTTCATCACTACTCATCTGTTATTTCCAACCATGTTAAAAATTACTAAAATGATAAGAAAACAAAAGAATTCTGGCATCGCCTTAAAAAATAATGTAATAGATAAATACCCTTTGTAGTCTTTTTTTAATGTTTTTGCAACATAGTTGAAAATTTAGAATTTTTCATTTTTTGCTCATATAATGGCAAAGAGAAGACAATACCAGAGGAAGATATTTCACAGTTATTAGACAAAATCATAAGATGGCTGCAGAGGGACAGCAGTAGTGACTCAACAATGATGGCAAAATAGATAATACAAGTGAAATCCCTGTCTGAGTCTTCTGATGATGATATCCTAGATGAATGTTCTTAAATTCAAGAGTCAGTGAATTTTTAAGGACAGAAAGGAAATATGGTACTGTATTAGTCAAGTTCTGTAGACAAACAGAACCAACAGGATGTGTAGATATACAGAGGGATGTATTTTAAGAGACTGGTTCACAGGATTTTGGAGTCTTGGTACATGTAAAACCTGTGGGGTAGGCTGGCCGACTAAAGACTCAAGGAAGAGTTGCAGTTTGAATGCAAGGGCAGACTGTTAGCAGAATTCCTTTTTGCTCCAGGGCATTCAGTCTTTGTTCTGTTAAGGTCTTCAGTTGATTGGATGAGAGCCACTACCACTGTGGAGGGCAGTCTACTCACACTCTACCAATTTAAATATTAATCTCATTCAGAAAAACACCTGCACTGAAATACCCAGAATAATGTTTGACCAAAATCTGGACATCATGGCCTAGCCAAGTTGGCATGTAAAATTAATCACCACAGGTATTTTTATCTAGTTAGTCATTCAATAGGCATGAGTCCATCATGCAACATTTTTCTTTTTTTTTAAGATTCTATTTATTCATTTATTAGAGAGCACGCATGCGTGCACACACGCACGCACACAGGCACGCACAAGTGAGGGAAGGGGCAGAGGGAAAGGGACAAGCAGACTCCATGCTCAGCACAGGGCCTGACTCAGGGCTCGATCCCACCACTCTGAGATCATGACCTGAGCCGAAATGAAGAGTCAGACACTTAACCAACTGAACCACCCAGGCGCCCCCATGCAACATTTTTTGACAAGAATTTGGACTATCCTATTTTGCTAAAAAGACATACTATATTCTTTTATGATGACTTATGCACCAAAATATACTTGATATAATTTGTTAGTGAACAAGTGCTAAAGGCAAATGTGTACACAGAAGTGATTTGAAGGAAATAAATAATGTAAGAAATAGAAAATTTATTGGATTAAACATTTTAATCAGTGTTTATAAATATAAAAATAATGGTAAACTAGAACCTATTAGAGATTGTTTGAAATTTGGAATCAGTATTTACAGGATAGATGTTTTTGTATCAGGATTTTCCAAAGAAACAAAACCATAGAGATATGTACATAATACACACACGCACACACACACATACACACACACACACACACTTATTTTAAGGAATTGACTCCCACAGTTGTGGGGCTTGGCAAGTCTGAAATATGAAGGGTAGGTCAGTAGTCTAGAAACCGAGGCCAGATTTCTAATGTTACAGTGTTAAGGCAGAATTCTTCTGCAAGAAACCTTAGTCTTTTTGGCTCTGAAGGTCTTCAACTGATTGAATGAAGTCCACGCATATTCTGGAGGATAATCTCTTTAAAGTCAACTTTAAATCATATCTATAATGTTTATCATTGCAGATGTTAATCACATCTACAAAATCTGTATCTTCATAGCAACATCTAGACAGTGTTTGACCAAACAGCTGTCCACTTTAGTCTAATCAAGTTGACACATAAAATTAACCATCACAGTCTACCCTTTGTCAGTTTAGCAGCACTTACGTATCCTTAAACTATACTTAATCTCCAAATAAAGGCAGTAGCAAAGTCTTACGTTCACCTAACATGACATGACTATCCTGCATGCTATCAAAGACAGATTAGCCTTTTCCCCAGAAGAGGATGCAAAGTCCTTGAGTGACGTTCACTTTTTTCCTTGGTATCCTGTAAGTTGAATACTATGATATAAAGTTAATAATATATCTTATGTTGTATGCCAAGGGGATAAGAGAGGGAAGAAAACAAAGTTATTTGGTTTATACGTATACACACATATTGATAACAAAATAAGGAAGGAATACTCGTAACAATTATAGTCTTCATTTCTACAGATGGTCACAAGGTCTTACTTAGCTTCTACTACCCATTCCATAGTGCACTGGCTTTCAGCTAGCACCTCAGCTTGTCAGTTCTTTGCCTCGTGGGGTGACCCAAACCTTCATTCCTGAAGCGTCCAGGCCATTAGTAGTCCTGGCTGAAATGGGTTGTTGTCGTTTTCCATTGCCATTAATCACAGAGCATGGTAGGAGTACTAGGACATGTCCTAAGAGGTTGCCTATATTCTATGCATATTCTTCTTTAGCAGTTCAGTTTCCTTTCCCTTGGTCATCAGGATCAGTCACATGCAAGCCAGCAAAGTAACTCTCTTCCTTGCCTGCTGATTTCTTTTTGAGAAAAAGTTGATAGTGTAGTGATGAAGAGCTGGTGTCCACTTCCTCCTGACATATTAACTGAGACTCATTGACAACACTTAGCACAGGTATGGCACATAGTGGCACTGAATAAAGTATTATGATTATGATAGCTGTTTTGGGATTGCGGCATTTAGGAGTTGGGGAAGAATTTAAGATTAGCTCAGTTCTTTCATTTTCTAGAGAAACAACAGTATCGAGCAGTAGAAATGGCCAAGCTCCTGAAACTTTTTTGAATGTCTGTAATATCAGGAACTTTAAGCAAGTTGTCTCACTCATTACACTTCCTATCAAACTGTAAGAGAATTATCTTCATATTATTACTAAGAAATTGACACACAAAGAATTTAACAAAACAGATAAATCCAGTCAGTAGCAGAACAAGATAGAAACTCCAAAACTGTTTGAATCCCCAAATTTTACCATTTTATCACATGCCTCTGACTCCCAGTTCTGTTAAAGCATGGCACCTCACCTCATTAAATTGTTTTTTCTCAATTTAGAGAATTGAGTAACATTTACACAATTTAGAGTAACATCTACATCAAGATTAGAAAAATTCACATAACCCATATTATTGTCAATTATCAATTAGTACCTGTGAGTATAATTTTTTATTGCTCTGTATTTAAATTAACCCACTTGCTATTAATTAGGTAATAATTTATAGTACTAAAACTGGGTGTTTTAGATCTAGTCAGATGTTTCTGTTATTTGGTCCTCATGTATAAGTTTAAGGGGAAATAGTGGTCATTTACATCTGGTAAATGTTGTAAATGATATAGGAGCTGCTAAAGAGAAAAAAAAATCAAATGTTTTGAAACTTTGTTCTCCCTCTGTACAAAGCAAGCAAATATTGAGGAATTGTATTGGCCTTCCCTGTTCAGTGTCAGATTAGAACCACAGCCCTGTTCTTAATGTATATACCCTTTGATTACTTTATATTTAGTTATTTAGTTTATTTGTAATTGTTAAAGCAGTTTATAATATATAAAGTGTCCCTGTCCAACCGAAAATACTAAAATAACTTACCAACTAAATGAAGTTTATGAATCCTGTTTTACTTTTCAATGCCCCAAAAAGCATATTTAATTATTTATGTTTCTTATAATGCGTATACATATGTATATTCATTTCTTTCTAGTGTCCCAATTGTTTTATATCTTTTACTACTATGTCTCTTGTACCTTACCTAAAAAAAAAAGCTTTTCTGTTCTAACCACTTAAGTTTAAATTACATGTTAAAATCTTAAGTTTTCTATTTTCTTCACAGAATTACAGATAGGGTTTATATTAATGAAACAGAACAGTGGCAGTTAACTCTTCCTGTCTGCTTTGAATTTAGGCCGGTTTTTTCATTGTAAATATAGTATTCCAAATTCTGCTATACAACTTTTCAATCTGCTGCTATTTCGTCTTACTATGCTATAGGTTTTTTTGTTTTTAGTAAAAGTAGCCTTCTAGGTTGTATAGATCTCCCTTTGGCTAATTAGGACTTGTGGCATTTTCAGTGTTTATAATGTGAAATTGTGATAAGTGAACAGTGTTGAGGCGCCTGGGTGGCTCGGTTGAGCATCCAGCTCTTGATTTCGGCTCAGGTCATGATCTCAGGGTCCTGGGACGGAGCCCCAGGTCAGGTTCCATGCTCAGCAGGCAGCTTGAGATTCTCTCTCCCCTTCTCCCCTCTGCCCCTCACCTGACTTATGCACATGCGTGTGTTCTCTCTCAAATATAGAAATCTTTTTTATTTTTTTAAAGGTTTTATTTATTTATTTGAGAGAGATTGAGCAAGAGAGAGCATGAGTGGGGGGGGTGGCAAAGGGAGAGGCCGACTCCCTGCTGAGTAGGGAGCCCGATGCAGGGTTCGATTCCAGGACTCGGGATCATGACCTGAGCCAAAGGCAGATAGATGCTCAGCTGACTGAGCCACCCAAATGCCCCTCAAATACATAAATCTTAAAAAAAAAAAAAAAAAGTTTACATGGACGTCTCTTAAATGGAAAATGTCCCTGTCCAACCGAAAATACTAAAACCCAGCACAATAATTTTACTTTCCTGTACTTATTGGATATTTTATCACCTAGAAATTTAACTATATCTATAGCACCAGCATTAAACTTGCATTTTCTAAGATTATATTTAATTTCGTATTACATTTTTCAGCTGACATTAAGAAGTATTTCATAACAAACTTCAGAATTCTCAAATTGAATGATATATCTTACAGTAAGCTATGATCAAATTTTTTATTTGTTCGGATATGTCCTGATAATCTGTTAAAGCTTTCCAGTCTTTCACTACTGAAAATTTAGAGTTAGTACTTGCCATTTCTGAAGGAGTCACACGTAATGTTTTCTAAGCCAAGACTCGGTTTATTCAGAGCAAATGAACTCGAACTGGTGTTGAGTGATCCTTCCCCAGCTGTGTACCTACGTAGACCTGAGCTTGGGAGTCAACTAGTCACTGAATTTACAAAGAAATGTGCGTTGTTAATATTTATACACCAAGGAGATTATGTCAAAACACAAAAATTGCAATCTGTCTTATGTCTGAAAGTTTTAGTCAATTGTTAACCTAATTTGGTTGTGAAAGTTGTAGTTTCTCTGATTAATAATCTGCTATATTTTTCTTAACAGCTGTGCTTACAGTATAATAAAAACAAAACATGGAAGTGAAAATATTCTTTCTAGTACAAAGTAGTTTAACTTTTTAAAATTACTTAATTCTAGCTATACATCTGAGCTGATGACAGTTTTGGTTTACTCAACTTTTTTGGTAATTATATAGCTAGCTGTGATTTAGATTTGTTTATTTAAGCATTAAAAGAAGAAAACTTCTATAGCTAAATATTTTAAATCAGATATTTTCTAAATCGAATATTTTCCCATTAGTGATACATTTGAGATTTTTTTGGTCACATTCACTAATAAATGGATATGTTAAGGTGATTTTTATTGTTTTAGGAAGAATTTGGCTATAACGCAGATACCCAGAAGCTACTGGCTAAAAATGGGGAGACTCTTCTTGGAGCCATTAATTTTTTCATTGCCAGTGTGAACACTTTGGTGAATAAAACAATTGAAGACACATTAATGACTGTGAAACAATATGAAAGTGCCAGGTAGGTAATAAATTTTCATTATATTGTCTGCTTACAGATGGTACATAATTCACTTAAGGTTTTAGGTTGCATATGGTAGAAATCAACTCTGGCTAACATGGGCAGAAAAAGAATGCAGTAGAACGTTATAGGATAGCCCATAGAACTAAGAGAAAGGCAGGAGAACAGATTCTAGAAACAAGCAGGAATCAAAATCAAGATAATGCCTCAGAAGAATCTAATTAGGAATCTAATTAGGACCCTGATGCTGGGTACCTCTGGTACTGGATGTTATCACAGCTACATAAGTCATTTCCAAAAGGCCCCTAAATATTTTGCTTCATTGCCTAGAGAGTGTCTCACTGAGCCTTGGTCATGTGCCCAACCCTGCCTGTCAGAGAATTAGGGAGGTAGAGGATCTCCTAGTTCCAACTTCCTTAGAAAAGGACAGGGCCTTGTGTTCTACTAGGTAGTTACTAGATGCCTTCTATAATCTGGCCGTAAGCCTCTCTTCGTTCTTGTCACTGTCGCTTCCCAGTAGAAGCAGTACAATAGCCGGACTTGCAGTTTCACTTTCTCTTCAATATACAAGCTCATTTTTGCTTCCATGATTTTGTTTATGTTGTGGATACCAACAACCTAGCCTTCCACTTATCTAGGTTATAATCAGCTTCAAACTCTTTTGTATTTTACCTTTTACATATTTTCATAGCTGTTTATAATGCAGTGTTTTCATACATTTTATACACACACACATACACACATTAATTTCTCTATCTCATCCTGTTAGGTAAGCTAAGTACATTTTAGCAGATGAGCAGTAGCATTTTCAACTTTTGAGTCCAGGCCCAATTTTTCTCCCATTCATTCTATTCTGACTTACTTTGAGGTTTTTTTTTCCCTCTGAACACTTGAAATCCGTATTTCCCATTATTCTTTTTATAGCATAGTTGAGGATAAGTACAAACTATACTTTTTAGAAGTGTAACTTTATGTTTTGGCCCCTTACCCTAGTTTAATGATATGAGAAATAGCTGTGAAAACTCTAAACTGATCTAGTTTTTGAGTGCTTCTTCTTAAGTATGTATTTCCTTATGCTTCACATGAGTAAAAGCCCAAAACCTTTGGAAAGTTAACTTTTAATCTTTTCACAAGAAGAGATGTTTCTGTGTTATTCTGTGTTTATAATTTTAGGTTTAGCATTAACATGTGGTTCTTAATGACTTGGATATGAAGGTCAAGATAAATAGCTGTGGTGGTTTGGTCGGAGAAGGGTGGAGGGGGGGTTGTGTGCCCTATTTAGGTTTTGGACTTGGTTTTTTACTTTTCTTCATTGTTTGAATTATTTACTAACACAGTATTAAAATCAGAAGGTGGAAAAAAATAAACAGAAGGAATCCATCAATAGGATATCCCTCAATAACATTGAAGGAATTTCTCAGTAAGATACCCTTCAATAGGAATCCCTTCGGTAACACTCTTAGTAATTGGTTCTCCAGTCTCTATTTAAATCTTTTCGTGGACATTGTATTTTTCAAAAGAATATTCTGTATATTTTTTATTTTTATAAATTTTATTTGGTTCTTTTCCAAATCTGTTCCTTATTCATGTTGTCCTAATTTGTTCATAATAAATACTCTTTTCCTTTTATTTCTTTAATTCTTTTAAGCATTCTTATTTTCTAGTCTTTCAGATTGTTTTCTGGGTTATGAAGATGAAAATTCTTTTGTTCCCAAATTCCCACCACCACCTCCTAGTCAAGAACTACATGAATCTAGTTTCTGTTTATGTACTTTGTAATTGTCCGCCTATCCTGAAAATATCTCTAGTACCTAAAACATATTTTTGTTTAGTATATTTTAAAATATGTTTTATTTTAGCATATAATATCTTTTTGGCCATTCTTTCTAAGGCACTTTTAAAAATATTAACCGATATTGTGGGACGACTGGCTGACTGGCTCAGTTCGTAGAGCATGCGACTCTTGATCTTGGGGTTGTGAGTTCAAGCCCCATGTTGGGCATATAGCTTACTTTAAAATAAAAATTTTTTTTTCAAATATTAGCCTGTAGTAAAGAAGGACAAATTCATCTGATAAGTCACTGAACAGTACATGAGTCATGTTTTAATTTGTGGAGGAGAAAATTCCTCTGGAGGTTAAATGTTTGTTCATTTGGAGCCAATTTCAAAGCCAAAATGAGAGCCCATTGGCTTTCTGCCTTTTACTTTTGATCATTCAGTCTCAAACTTGAACTGGATTTATCTCAAATTTTCATATCTATTTAAAAAATTATGACGCACCTCCAGTCGATAGAGCATGTGACTCGGGGTCTCAGGGTTGTGAGCCCCACATTGGGTGTAGAGATTACTTAAAAATAACATCTTTAATAATAATTTTCACATCTTATATTGAGATATCTGACTTAAAGTACAAAGTGATAAAAGATCTCAATCTAGGGGCTCAGCCAGTTGAGTGTCTGACTCTTGATTTGGGCTCAGGTCATGATCTTGGGGTCGTGAGATTGAGCTCCACATCAGGCTCTGTGTTCAGCAGGGAGTCTGCTTGAGATTCTCTCTTTCCCTCTTTCGCCCCTTCCCCTGCTCGAGCACACACTCTTTCTCTCTCTCCCTCTCAAATAGATAAATAAAGTATTTTATAAAAATCTCAATCTGTCTAATATATGGGTTTATTTGAAACTTTTGAACAGAGTTATAAATCAGGTTATATGTACTTGGTAGCTGGTTATCAGGAAATCTTTAACCACCTATGTGTGTAGTTTAAAAACTGACAACAATAATGACCTCACCTCATAATTTATTCTCTTTTTATTGAAATTACAATGTGATTTTATTCATTAAGCTTAGCTTGGGGTTTGACTTTCCTATACTATTTATTGAAGTAACTGAGGGATTCACTATTGTAATACGAAAACATTGCCTGCAGAGGGATAACATTTAAAAAGAACCCTAGATTAAAAGTTTCTCAGTAACTGAATTTTCTTCTCTGTCAGAACCAGAATTTACTGACTTTTAGGGCATGGGTCAGCTATTTGATCAGCACAAAAAGTGGCAATTTAGGCAAATGTCCAGTGGCCTTTTAATGCTCCCTATTATGCATTGTGTACAAGTATTTCCAGCCCTCTGGTGCTCTGTGTATAGAAAATCTTGTAACGGCCCATTCAAAACTTCTCCACAGCACCACCAACAAGGGAGTCAGTTGTGGTCAAGACTTCTCAGATGTGGACACCTGTTCTGTAGAAGTTTTACATAAGCCATAAAGTAACCAACTATCACTAACTTTATTGATATGGATTCAGTTCAGACTGGCAACCTTGAAGGAGTTGCATTTTGAAAATTTAGTGTGCTTCTCTTCCTGGTGGTAATGAGCACTGTTAGAGAAGCTCTTATGGAAAGTTTTACTTTGATACCATCTACAAACTCTGGATGTAAAAATTAAGGGATATAAGGTCAGTATTATAACTTTGATTATGTTTATATTAATCTTATTGTTTAGAAATGTGCTCCAAGGCTGATGAAGGATGTTTATCTTCACGTTAAATCACCATATATCACTATTTTTGTTCTACATTTTTTCTTTCATTTTTTGTTGTTTTTAGTATATTTACATCTGGCTATTCCTCTTCTAATTTGGCTATTATAATAAACACTCTAAAGATACTAGTTATTACCAGGTATCCTAAGTACTCTATATTTTTTAATGGAGATTATTATTCTCATTTATAGATGAAAAACTGCAGCAGAAAGAGATAAAATAACTAGCTCAAGACATGAGAGGCAGCAAAGGTCAGAGTGGTCCTTCAGTTTGCCTAGAGAACCCATGGAGTTTAACTTACTTGTTACCATTACCAAGTCAGTCTTGCCTCCTAAATCTTTAATATCTGTCTCCCCTTCTTAGCCCCACTGCCATTGTCTTGATTCAGTGACTCATTTCTCTTTTGCCCATGGTCTTCTAATTGGTTTCCTTGTTTCTGTTTCTTAATCTACTCTGGTCTATCCTCCATTTCTTACTACTAGAGATGCCTAGTTCTATTCTGAACAAGTAGAACATGTCACTTTCTAGAGCAGAGTTCTTAAATGGCTTCCCATCACATAACTTGACCTACCAGATTAAATCCGATCCCTTTAGTGTGGCCTGTAGGCCCTGCTTAATGTCCATCTTGCCTACCCGTCTGACTTTTAATTCCTTCCACTATCGTGCTCCAACTTCAGGTTATGACATACTGAATTACTTCCCAAATGTATCGTGGTATCTTACAAATCTGTGCTTTTGTTTGTGCTTTTCTCTTCCTGGATTGCTCTATTTCCCTGCCCCAGTCCACCTTGGAAGCTCTTATCATCCTTTAAAATTTAATTTTAAGTGTTTTAATTCTGTTCTGAGATACCTAATTAGGTAATTCTTCATCTTGATTTCCATTCTCCCTTATTCTCCCTCCCTCATGGCAGTTAGCGTTACCTCATTTTGTCGTTTAAGAGTCTCTCTCCCTCTAGACTGCAGGTTTCTTGGAGATAAACTTTTATCTGTTCATCTTTATAGCTCTGGTTTCTAGCATAGTGCCTGGAACATAGAAGGGGCTCACTTAATATTTGTTGAATAAATCAGTGTATCGGTGAATGAATGATTCTCTTCTGGCCCTGAAAGGTCAAGTTTGTTAAATTCAGTACAAGATAAAAATAAATTCTCAAGTCAGATTGGAATATAGTTTATGTTATTTAAAATATTCTTAAAGGGTGCCTGGGTGGCTTAGTCAGTTGAGTGTCTGACTCTCGGTTTCGGCTCAGGTCATGTTCCTTGGGGTCATGAGATGGAGCCCTGCGTTGGGCTCCCCACTCAGCCAGGGGTCTGTCTGCTTGTATTTCTCTCCTTCTGCCTTTCCCCCCCACCTCATGTGCACGTGCTCTCTCTAAAAAGAATAAGTAAGTCTTTAAAATATTCTTAATTGCCAGAATAAGAGATGTAGATAGTACTTTAGATATTGAATAAAGAGCTTTAGTTCTGGGGCATAAGTTTTGTGATGCTGATTTTGACTAAATCAGAGGTCACAGTGATCTTAACTGAGTACTGAATAGTAGAGACTGCTGGATAAGTCACTGTTTTATAATAAGCAAGTTGGTAGTGTACTTACACAGGTGCTGTGATGGAGACATTATGAGGTGCAGTGTGATCATGGAGCGGTGGGGGTAACTATTTTAGTGGTAGGAGAATATTAGGGAGTAGGCATCTAAACGAGCACAAGGTGTTAAGTGCTCTGTCATAGATGCCATTGTCATGTTCTAAATACTAATATTACGGAAATCCATCCAGAGTTACTCTGTCCCATATGGTAGCCACTAGCCACATGTATCTGTTGAGCCCTTGAAATGTGGTTAGCCTAAATTGAGATGTGATTAGATGTGTAATATATACGATGGATTTCAGAGACTCATTACTACTCCCCCAAAAAGTAAAATAGTTCATTAACAACCTTTTCACATTGATGACATGTTGCAATGATAATATTGTAGATATATTGGGTAAAATAAAATATATTGTTTAAAAGGTAAAATTAATTTTTATTATTTTAATGTGACTACTAGAAAATTTTAAGTTACATATGTGACTTGCATTATATTTCTGTTGTGCCTTGCTGGCTAGACTATACTTTCAGGACTGCTGACTCTCAGTGTAGCTTCGTTTTACCAGTTAAAGGATGTCATCCTAAAGTCTGCTGTCTTCATATGCTTTGCCTTATTGGTATTAACCAATTCCCATGTGAGATAGATCACTTGATCTTGTTGGCATTAGGTTTTAACATCTGTTTTTTTAAACTGGTTTTTAAATTTTGGAAATTCTGCTTGTCAGTTAATACTGTACTTTGGGAAAAATAGTTAATGAGATTAATAAGCAGCTCCCCCCCATGCTTGTATTAATAGCTCTTTGTATTAAAGAAATATATGATTTTAAAAGTATAAGGTGTAATATATGTATGAGAATTATCTGTTAATATGTAACATGAGACTGCCATATATTTTCAACTCACCTCCTGAACTTATTTCACTCTGTTTTTGTAATATGCTTCACTTACTTTGTTCTTTCCAGGATTGAATATGATGCATATCGCACTGATTTGGAAGAACTGAATCTTGGACCACGTGATGCCAACACTCTGCCAAAGATTGAGCAGTCACAGCATCTGTTTCAAGCACATAAGGAAAAATACGATAAAATGCGTAATGATGTTTCTATCAAGTTGAAATTTCTAGAAGAAAATAAGGTAAATTTAGTCTTTACCTTCTGAGATAAATTTTTATGGACTTTAAAATGATGTCATCCCAAAGAGAGATAAATAGAAAGATTTTGTTTCTGTTAGCTCTCTTTCATTACAGTTGCAAAATGGAATTCCACCAGTAATCAGTGTTTGAGTTTTTAGAAGAACCAAAAATATATTTATCTTTCTGTTATAAAAGTCATCATCAACCCTACTGTACCAGTCCTTCACATGTAACAGTTGGGAAAAAATATTTGATGTTCAACTATTGACCTTCAGATTGGAGTTGGTATCAAATGTTTTAAAAGTTACATACTTGGAGCACCTGGATGGTTCATTCGGTGGAGTGTCTGGCTGTTGATCTCAGGGTTGTGAGTTCAAGCCTATACTGGGTGTAGAGATTACTTTTAAAAAAGTAAAATCTGAAAATTAAAAAATAAATAATAAAAAATTACATAATGATAGATTCTGCTTTGAATATTTTGAGACCTTTTTATTAATGATAGGTACAGACTTCAGAAAGGGAAGAACATTCTTCCTAGTAACTGGTAAATGAGGAATGACTAAAAGGTCCAGCTTAGAGTTGTAGTTAGCATACCCTAGAAGAAACAAGCCAAGAAATCAATTTTCCGCATTATTTTTGTATAACATGAACCCATCTAAGGACTAGAACAGTGAGAGCTGAGATGGACCTGCTGTGGGCTTCTATTCTCTTCACAGACTAACAGGCTCCTGAGTTTTGGCTTAAGTAGAGGACAGGTTCCTGTGTTTAACATTTTTTTTTAAGATGTATTTATTTGAGAGAGCGCACATGCCAGAGCCCAGTGGGGAAGGAGAGAGGGAGAGAGAGAATCTTAAGCAGACTCCCCACTGAGCGTGGAGCCCAAACAAGGGCTCAGTCTCACAACCCTGAGATCTTGACCTGAGGCAAAATCAAGAGTGAGACGCCCAACCCAGATGCCCCTGTGTTTAACATTTCTGACATGACATGCATACTCAGTTTTGTGAGTGGGATTACAGTTCTGGAAACAGGGAGAAGCCAATAGTGGGCACAGCACAGAGTAGGTGGAGTGGTTCAGTCTTGTGGAGATGGGGTCTTTCCACTGCATATTGGTGGTCTTCTTGTGATTTTCATATCCTCTGAAGTCACAATAGGTCTTCAAATCTACTTTCTTTAGGTACCCTCTTAAAATTGTTCTTCATTTGTTATTGTCTGTTGATATCCTCTTGTTTTCCTTAACATTTTTTTAGAAACTCTTATGGCTACCATAAAAGCTGCAGAGTAATACATTTCCTCGGGATCTACCAAGTCCTGCACTACCACTCACTTTTTTTAGCTACAGTGGGTAAAAAGTATTCACCAGAAACAATTACAAGGGCAGTAAAAGAAACTTCAGTAGAGTTATCAGACAGATTACCTAGCATCATTCCAACAAGAACGCAGTGCAGCCTTTCAGCATTGATTAGCTGAACACATAAGATGGCATTCCTTTTAGTCTATTCATATTTATCTATATAGATGTATCTCTCTACAGGTATATATGTAGGGAGAGATAGATCAGTTACATAGCTTAACATTTTAATAGATAGGAATATATCAATACTTAGATGTAGATGTATGTTTTAAACATAAAAATATTTTTTGACATATTCCTCTATAATAGATCAGCATTGTACAGGATAGTGCTAAGTGAGGTATGCTAGCTAGCATTTGAGAGGCTCTCTCCAAAGCTAATTTGAAGGGAAAGAAAGGAATTCACCTAATTTGGGGGTTCAGGACCTCTGCAAATAAAGAAATTGATTTTAGAAAATCTATAAAATGGTAATTATATTCCTTTGGAATCTAATGGTATCATGTACTCTTCTCTGGATAGTGAGATTATGGGTAATTTTTATTTTCTTTATATATTTCTATATTTTAGATGGTTGTGTTGCCTTGATAAAAAAGAGAAAGTGGGGCACCTGGGTAGCTTAGTCGGTTAAGCATCTAGCTCTTGATTTCAGCTCAGGTCATGATCTCATGGTGGTGAGATCGAGCTCCAGGTCGCATTCCACACTGAGTGTGGAGTCTGCTTAAGATTCTCTCTCTCACTCTCCCTCTGCCCCTCCCACCTCCCAAAAAAGAAGAGAAAGTAATGTTGAAAGAATCAGTACTCCAAAGCAACTATGCTTATTAGTCCTTGCCAGGGTAAATAGGAAAATTACACAAGGATAAACAATGGCCATGTGATTGCTACTTGTCTTACTATAACTACTTTGGAAACTTAGGAGATACCCAGATGTGGACATGAATCAGGGAAGGCACTTATCTGTCAGTTACTATGCATTTTACACATATTCTCACTTAATCCTTCGTACTTTAATTCTTTCAGTAAATATTATTGAATACTTTATATACTGGGAATATGTCAGGGAACAAAAAAGACAAAATCTCTGTCCTTTTGAGGCTGACATTCTTATCAATCAGATACACTCATCATCCATAGTTTACAGATGAGTGAGTTCGTTTTACATCATCTTCTGTGATCATATATGCCCTTCGCTTCTGATCTTTGGAACCTCTGTCTCCCTGATCTGTCCACTGTAAAGTCGTTCCTCACTTACTAAGTTGTATGACATACCTAGGCTCTTCCCCTTCATGTGTCGAGGAGAAGTTCTAGATTCTGGGAACCTCAAAATCGGTATTTGAGCTGTGGAGAATAGACTGAAGAAATTGTTTGGGGCCTGTCTATATCTAGTATCATTACTGCCTAAAGTAGCCCCGTGTTGTATCTGGAAAACAGCTATCGTGCTAATGTGAGAAATAGAAAGGAGGTACAGAGGAGGTGGCAGGGAGAAAAGACCTTGTGTACTTTCTCCTCTGCCCGTGCTTTGCCTCACTTGTTTTATGCTGTGCTCTGCTCTGCACTAGAGTTGAGCAGCATAGGCTAATGAATAGGCAAGGTGGACTGTGTCCTTTGTAAAAAAGTCCAGATTAAGAATGTGAAAACTTGGGTTCCAGACTTGCTCCTGCCACCTGCTTACTTCATGATCTTGGACGGGTCTCCAAACCTTTGTATTTTCCTCTGGAAAATGGGGGTAAATCATGCCTTGTGTTAAGTGAGTGAGAAAAACACACTGTCCTCTGTAAGGTATAAAGTACTGTTCACCAGTATTTATAGGATTCCTACTGTGTGCCAGGCCCTTTGCTAGGTGAAGGGATGAAGGAGAAAGAAAATAAAGTTCACGATCTTCGGGAGATACAAAAGCATAAGATGGGTTTGTTTTCTAGAAATTACCACCTTCACACCTTCCCCTGGTGGCTTTTAAACTTAACCTGTATCCTGCCTACTTTGTGCCTTTTTTGCTGATAGGAGCAGAAATTGACATTAGAAAAGATGTGGCAGGAGACATGAACTGTATTTATTTCAACATATTAATTTGAAATACTAAATTTATATCATTTGGCATTAGGTAAGCAATACTTTCTCAGTAGTAAGTAAGGGTAATGAATTGACCATTCAGGGAAGTCTTTAAGATCCATGGAAGAGACAGGACTTCAGCCTAGCCTTGAAAGGTCAGGAGGACAGGCCTAAGAGAAGTGGGAGGAGAACCTGCTTGGCAAGGGCAGTGGCCCACATGTACGAGCAGAGGAATATTCATGTTTAGTAGAGAAGAAGTAGACTACCATAATGGGACATAACCTTGACATGCTTTAAAGGAAGAGAGAATCAGAAAGGTAATTGGAAGCCACATTATGTTGAGCCTTGAACACATAAAGATCAAGTTGTGGCCTCAAAAAGGATGCATGGCTGAGCAATGAGGGACCAGCCAGGTTATCTCTGTAAAGTTTCAGTGTCTGTCAGATGGCTTTCACATCCCAACTTTATCTAGTTGGCATTAGAGAATCTGTAAAGTTAGGGGGCATCTGCGTGGCGCAGTTAAGTGTCTGCCTTCGGCTTAGGTTGTGATCCTAGGGTCCCGGGATCCAGCCCCACGTCGGGTTCTCTGCTCAGCGGGGAGCCTGCTTCTCCCTCTCCCTCTGCCTGCTGCTCTGCTTGCTTGTGCTTGCTCTCTCTCTCTGTCAAATAAATAAATAAATCTTCTGACACTGTTGGTGGGAATGCAAGTTCATACAGCCACTTTGGAAAACAGTGTGGAGGTGCCTCAAAAAATTAAAAATAGAGCTACCCTATGACCCAGCAATTGCACTCCTGGTTATTTACCCCAAAGACACAGATGTAGTGAAAAGAAGGGCCGTATGCACCCCAGTGTTCATAGCAGCAATGTCCACAATATCCAAACTGTGGAAAGAGCCGAGATGCCCTTCAACAGACGAATGGATAAAGAAGATGTGGTCCATATATACAATGGAATATTACTCAGCCATCAGAAAGGATGAATACCCAACTTTTACGTCAAATGGATGGGACTGGAGGAGATTATGCTAAGTGAAATAAGTCAAGCAAGAAAGTCAATTATCATATGGTTTCACTTATTTGTGGAACATAAGGAATAGCGTGGAGGACATTAAGAGAAGGAAGGGAAAAATGAAGGGGGGGAATCGGAGGGGGAGACGAACCATGAGAGACTATGGACTCGGAGAAACAAACTGAGGGTTTTAGAGGGGAGGGGGGTGGGGGGATGGGTTAGCCCGGTGAAGGGTATTAAAGAGGGCATGTACTGCATGGAGCACTGGGTGTTGTACGAAAACAATGAATCGTGGATCACTACATCAAAAACTAATGATGTGATGTATGGTGACTAACATAACATAAAATAAATTTAAAAAAAAAGAAAATCTTAAAAAAAAAGCATTTGTAAAGTTAGGAGTAACAGAAGAAAAAAATGACTTAAAAACATTGTTCGGGCACTGTAGTTCAAAGGCAGAAAGAAAGTAGAAGCACGCAAACCAGCAAGGAATCCTTTATAGCCAAATGAAATGATGAAGAGCCTGACCTAGGGTTGTTGGAGTAGTAACAGAAAGGAAAGAATACCGTGATTTCAAGGCTGTGTGGCAGGGGTTG